CTTGGGCTGTTTACAGGGATAAAACTGGCACAAATTCAGAAAACTGATAAACAAAATTTCATAAAAAATTAAACTTTTGTTTCCCAGAATGAAAAAGGCACAGCTAAGAAGAAAATATTCACAATGCAAATTTTTGACAAAGGACTCGTATCCAGCAGATATAAAGTGTTTACGACAGGAACAAATGGACAAAAGGAGGCTAAGCCGGCAACATAAGCCCACAAGCCCACGTCAGCCCGTGCTTACTGTGGCTAGAAATCTTAAATAGAATCTACAAGCTGCTATGTGAGAGCCCGCAAAGGTGAGCCAATGCAGATCGGGATGGGGGGGAGAAAAATAGAACAGACGTGCTCCCTCCTCCCTCCTTCCCTCCTCTCCTCTCCTCCTCTTCCTCTTTTTCTTCCTCTCCCTCACACCTCCCCTCTTCTGTTTTTCTTCCTTTCCCCACTTCTCATAGAAGCAGCAGAGGCAGAAGGCTATTCCACAAGAAATAGTCCCTTTTATTAGTCAAAGGAATGTGATGGGGGAGCCCTTCTGGGAAAAGTTGTAAGGAATATCCAGAGATATAGAGGGCCAAAAAGTGGGTCCCTAATTCTGTGAAATCACGTAATAGGCAACCTGGCCCCTGTGCTCTGCACAAATCACACAGATCCAAGGCAGCAGAGTGAAGCTTTGAGAATCAAACTGAAATGTAAACCTTGTGCACATCTCTTTAACACACTTGCTAAATATAGTGCATGCTTGGGACAGCCCCAAATCAGTACAGCAACTGACCCTGGAACTGCTCTCCACACAAGGCAAAGCTGAACCCGAACTTGAACCTAAGTAAACCGATGACGTACTAGAACATAACACCAGTGCTCCTCAGACGGGGGACTGCAGGCAAACCAATGACCTGCTAGAACATAACACCAGTGCTCCTCAGATGGAGGACTGCGGGCAGAACTCAAAGACTGCACTCAGTGACATTATCCTGTCTCTAGGATAATCCAAATCTACCCAGCATGCAGAGAGCCAGGAAATCACGGCCAGTTTTCAGGGGCAGAGAATACATTTAAATCCCAAGGTGAGTCAGGGCTGTCAGACAGACTTCCAAGAGGCTGTGGTGAGAGCATGCTCCCTCGGACCTCGAGAAATATACTAAGAGAAAGAAGCTATTTGTACACAGAGAGCTTTCAAATTTTTTCAAAAAGAGCAAACAGAAATGTTAGGATTGGAAAATATAAAGCTAGAACTTAAATGTCACCTGCATGATCCCGTGGGAGAAGGCAACGGCGAGGAAAAAGGGATGCATGTGAGGTGGGTCAGAAAAGATGCAATCTGAAGAACAGGGAGAAAGAATGAGCCTCTTCTAGGCAGCTCAGCTTGCCTGTCTCTCAGCAGTCCCTACTGCTTATAAGCTTGGGGAGGGATGGGCCTATTGTATCTGGTCAGTTTCAGGGACTTCCTGAGGCTAGTGTGTTGTTTAGTCCAGAGTTTAAATGAGCTTCCTGGGAGGATGGGATGTTCCAGCTCACCTTTGAACACCCTGTTGTTTTGTTTACCTTCCTGAGTCATCATAACAGCTTCACTTCAACATGGAAGGTTTTAGCCTCAGAGGAAACTGCCACTCAACAGAAGGAAGGGAGCATGAGACGAAGTTGGGGAGATTACACAAGTACATTACAGAGTTCTGAAGGCTACAGAAATGTATCTCGACTGTGGTGGCATCCTCCTAGGTGTGGACCTGTGTATGCACTGACCACATCTGCTCTTTGAGCAAACCTGATTGAATGCACTTTAGTCAGAGCAAGTTCTGGGGATAAACAAATGATCTGAAGATGCCACAAAGGAAAATATATAAATTGGCATTATGCACTTGCAAAGTTTCTCAGCTTCTTCAATCATCTATACATAGGTTTCTTCTCCGTGATGAAACACTGGCCAGCAGCAACAACAGAAGGAAATGTGGCCAGAGTTTGCACACTAACAAATAAAGCTTGCCTGAAAATCAGGAGGCGGAGCTAAGCCACTCATTAACCATAGAGGCCAGGCAGTGGTGGCACACACCTTTGATCCCAGCACTAGGGAGGCGGAGACAGGAAGTGATATGGCTGGGTGGAGAGAGGATAAGGTTGGAGGAGGCAGGAGCCCAGCCCCTTTCCAGTCTGAGGATTTCGTAGAGATAAGAACAGGTGACTCCTTTACTTCTCTGATCTTTCAACATTCACCCTGATATCTGACTCTGGGCTTTTATTATTAAGACCAATTAGAATTCTCACTACAAGGACAGTAGTGTAGTATTATGAACTCAGGGGGATTAGACTCTATAATGGTGGGGAGACACAGCAGCAACTGACAGACTTGGTAGCAGGAGCAGGAAGCTGAGAGTCCCCATCTTGAATGGTAAGCATGAAGTAGAGAGAGGGAACTGGGAACAGGAGGATTTTAATTTCCAAGTTTGTCCCCAGACTACTTCCTCCTCCAAAACTCCCTACACAGAACCTCCAACTGGGAACTGAGTGGTTAAATGCCACAGACCACAGGAGGAAGGAGGGAACTTCTAAGACTCCATGATGACTTAGACAGCTCTAACCTGGAGTGAGTCAGTGCTACAAGCCCACAAGAATGGCAAAAATTTTAAAGTGCCAGCAAGGATGTGATGAAAACAGAATTTTCAGTGGATAATACAGCGGGGGTATATAAATCGTGAATGAGTGTGCCCACTTTGGAAACAATTCAGTCAGGTCTTACTTAAAAGATAACTCTATGGTCTAGTTAGATGAGTCCCAGCTAGAGAAATAGGAAGTATACTGACACAATGTCTCATATATAGCCATCTGTTGCAATGAGGGTTGTGATGGAAACTGAAGATCTGTGCTCACTTGTGTGGAGAAAGAAACTGTGGTCTAGCATGGAGAGATGCTCTGCTTGTCCGCAGAGGGGAGCAAGAACAGGCCATAAGGAGGATGAGCCTACATAGTGCCAACAGAAGAGAACTCTGCACTCAAAGTCACTGCTTTGTGACTCTGCTCCTAGAAGAAGCAGGGATCTTATGGTATTAAGAAGCAAATATGGGTGTGATGGTGTCCATCTGGAATACCAAGTGTGAAGGTGAAGGTAGTCAAGCCAGAAGTTCAAGGTCATCCTTGACTATATGACAAATCTGAGGCAAGCCTGAGCTACAGGAGAGATGGCAGTGGTGGGTGGAGAGATGGCTCAGTGGCTAAGAGCACTGACTGTTCTTGCAGACAATCTCTGTTTGGTTCTGAGCACCCATATCAGGTGGCTCATAGTTATAACTTCAGGTCCAGGGGACCAGATGCCCTCTTCTGGCCTCCCAGGGCACTGCATGCACATGGTGCACATATATTCACTCAAGTACACATATACATAAAATAAAAATAAGAATTTTTAGTTAAAGAGCAAAACTCAGTAATTTTTTGGGTTAGGGAATCAGTGGAGGCATAACTTGAGGTCTATCCCTTAGGCATACTGATTTGTAAACAATATTTATTAGGCTTAAGTATATTGATCTTTTTTTAAAAAATTGACTATATAACATGAACTAAAAGTAAATAAAGCTGGAAAAAAATTCAAACAAGGAGATGGATATTTTAAAAAAAATCTAAAAACTGATTTGAGCTTTAAAAGTTAAATCATTTGGGCTATTTTAGTATTTCAAGTCAATTTGGGGGAGAAATATTTACAATGATATTGAGTCAGTTGGCCATTCCGGTTATAAAATTAAGGCCTAGATCCATTTACTTGGGGGGAGGGAGAATTCTACCTAGATTAAAGAGTCTAGTCTAATAAAAAAAAAAAAGAAGTCACCTTAAATGAGCAAGCAGCAGAGGCCCTCAGTATGTAGTATGGCCTGAGAGAGCTGTGCCTGTGCCCAGGGAACCCCACTGGCCCCACACTGCTTGGAATCCAGTCCTGTGAAAACCCAAGGTCCCACAGACGGGACAGGGCAGGAAGGGAGTTCCCAGACAGGAAGGGAGTTCCCATGGCTGGAGAGAACTTCAAAACCTGCTTCCCATGTCTGTGTTCAGCCCCCTGACACAGCAGAGATGCCCTTCCTTCCTATTCGAAACTCACAGAAAGCATCAGGAAGCACACGAGAGAGTGGCCCAGAGTGGCTGCAGACCCACGGGAAGGGTTCAGCAATGCTGGTATGCTATGGGGACCAGGATGGCAGCTCTGTGACAGGAAGCAAATCCTATGTAGTCAGTCCTGGGACCTGCTCCCTTTACAGGTGACTTGGGAAGAGCCACGGTGGTGGTGCCTCAGCCACAGCCCAAGGGGACCGAGAGCTTGTAGCATCAGGTCAGTGGAAATCCACACAGCACTGGCCAGCTCACCCCGTGTCCTGCAGTTGGTGGACAGACCTGCAGAGGCCTTTCTCTTCTTCCACCCCAGGGCTGTCACCCTGCGGTCTCTGGGCACAGGTCTCTGGTGAGTCACTGGCCCCAGAGGAAAGAGTTGATCTGACTGCAGTTGCTTTATTTCTTGGTTTCCCTGGTCTCTTGGGGCCTTGTGAATTAAGCTGAATGAGGAAGCAGGTGAGGAGCGCAGGTGCTGGGTGTAGGGGAGACATCTCCATGGCAACAGAGCCATCTGGCTTCCTGGCCTGGCATCGGGCCTTGTGACTTCACAGTGGAATCTTCTGCAGGGTTGCCTGGTGAAGACGCTGTGGCGGGGGGGGGGGGGGCCTTGAGCTCCCTAGCTCTAGTGTGAGGATTAGGCTTCTTCGTGTCAGCCTACGGGGCTGCAGCCAACTCCAGTAGACTCTATGTGGCAAGCGTGCGTGAACGTGAGCAGCCTAGCACGTGGGCCATTCTCTGCTGAAGCTCTCTGGGGAGTTGAAAGAGTCACACCTGGCCTCCTTCAATCCTGGCCTAGCAGGTGAAGAGGAGCCAGGGCCCCAGGAGGAAAGACAAAAGTGTGAATCTTCGCCACCCAGAACAGTCTGACCCGTCAGCACCCTCTCAATGGCAGGAAGGGTAAGATGTAGGGGGAGTTGTCATAGGGGGCTTCCATAAGATGTATGGTAGGGCCCCCCCAACCCAGTGGTGAGCCATCTGGCCCACTGACACATCAGGTTCCTACGGTTGCTATAGCAACTGCTGTGAACCTGGCAAAATGATGACAGTTCGTTCCCACATGGTGTCGGAGGCCTGGAGTCAGCAGAATTAGGTCCTTCTTGGGGCTCCAAGGGAGAAGCTGTCCTGTGCCTTTCTTCTGGCTTCTGGTAGTGGCAGGTGACTTGGTGTTCCTTGGCTATGGAACCCTCACTCCAGTTTCTGCCACATGAGATCATCCTATGACACGCTCCCTGAGTGTCTGTGTCCAGGTTTCCCAGCCATAGATTTCGGGTATGCCTTAACCCAGTAGAACTCATCCTGTCTTGTTTGCATAGATCTTACAAATAGAGAAAGGCGTGGTCACAGTGCCAGGCGTGAGGACTGGGATGGAGCTTATAGGGACCATGTGCACAGCTCATGCACAGTGAGGAGCAGATGGGGCTCCCCCCGCCCCGGTACAGCACTCAGTCTGTTCCCCCAGGACAGTGCAAGAAGAGGCAAGTCCAGATTAGGGGTAGGATGGAGGATGTCAGACGTACACTCTGGTCTCTTGTACCCATGACTAACACTTTCCTAGGAGTTAGGTGACCTTCAGGGAGCTAGGGACCTGCTCTAGTTGTGCCTGTGGCAGAGGAAGGGGAGGTAAGAGTTGCAGCCCCTAGAGGAGTCAGGAAAGCTGGGGGGCAGTTCATAATAGACTTTCCCACAAAGCCCAGAGTCTGTAAGTTGGAACAGCTTGAGGCCTCTGAAAATGGTCCCAATGGGCAATGTTAGAAGGAGACTCCAGGTCCCTGTTCTCCCCTGGCCAAGAGGGAATCCCCCATTTCCCTTCTCTGCCTCCCCATAAGACATGACCCCTCCTCTACCAACCCTGAGTCAGCAAGAACTTAGATCCTAGCCAAGCCCTTTTAACATTCTCTTTCTCTTACTCTCTCCTTTCCTTCCCCTCCCCCTCCCTCACGTGAGTGTGTGTTTTGCCAAAATGGTCCCACCCCTTCCCTCACCCTCCATGGGTGTCTCTGCACTGCTTGCATGCCCGTCTGGGGGTTGTGGAGGCCAGAAGAGGGCATTGGATTCTGTCAGAAACGGGCTACAAGTGGTAGGGAGCCTCCGAGGCCGTGCTAGGACTTGAGTCTGGGTCCTCTGAGCTATCTCTCCAGTCCCGTGTGTCTCTTCCTTCCGTGCTGCCCATCCTTCCTTCTTCCACTTTTGTTGTCCACCACACACCAGTGCTTTTCTAGATTCCGTGGATTCAGACGCCAACTAGACAGATGGGCCTTGCCTCAGTGGGATTCAACATAGCCAAAAAACAAACAAACAAACAAAAAAACCAGTGTGGGCAAGTGCTTCAGGGCAGGGTGGGTACATCAGAGGGGCAGTGTCCTCAGTGGGGAGGGGTGTCAGTCAACTAGGTGATGTGACTGAACCATGGAGGTAAGGGAAGCAGCCCTAACCGGGTGCCATACGCAATCATCACCCAGGTGTGTGCTCAGGACCTGCCCAGCAAAGGCCAAACGAAGGCCTGTGTGGACCCAACAGAGCTAAGGAGGTCTGAGACCAGCCGAGTAGGATAAGGAACTAGTCCTTGTTTTGTTTTCTTGGAAAAGTATCTGTCGAGTGTCAGGGGCGTGACCACCTCAGGAGCAGAATAGAAGGAAAAGCTTTTCTGTGAGAGAGAAATGGTAACAGTCAGTGTGGGGGAGTCTGGGAGCAGGGAAGACTCCTCTGAGGTGAGGGCCCCAGATGCTCAGGTAGGATCAAGCGGGCTGTGTTTGAGGGCCTGGGGGGCGGGGGCGGGGCACACTGAGCAGAGTCAGTAGGGTGAGTGAGGTGAGGTCGCAGAGCGCAGGGTTTTCTGAGGGCATGGTTAAGAGCACTATTGGACTTTCGCAGAGGGGAACCCTGATCAGTTGTGGGCCCTATAAGCCCCCCAGATGAAGACAGGACTAAGGACAAGGCAGGCAGCGGTTACCAATGGGTACCCTCTCTTCTCAGACAACTCAGAAGAGCCATGAGGCTGAGTCCAGTGCCCTGATCTCTCTGAGTCTCCTGTTGGGGGCGAACCCAGGACACCTGTCCCAGCCACTGCAGGTCACCAGTTCACAGGATCAGGAGTCAGTTCGGTCTTGCAGCCTCTTGGAGATGGGCTCAGAGTTCCTGCCTTTCTTTCACACTCACGAGCAGCCTCTGGACATGGAGGAACTGGCCCAGCAGTGTGAAGTCAGCCCTGGACACAAAGATGGCTGGAGCCCCAGAGAGGGTCTGTTCCTCGGGGAGTCGGCGCCACCCAGTGGCTTCTTCCCGTACTACCGCTCTCCGGAAGAGCATCTCCCCAGCACCACCCCTCAAGGCTGTTGGTGTCTGGGCACCAGAGACCTCTTTCCCACAGTACAGGATGGCTGCTGCAAGGTGACAGCCAGGGGTGGATGCCCTGTGATGAGTGTGAAGAGGCTATAGAAGGGCAGGCAGGCAGCACCAAACCTCTGGAATGCTCCATACACCTGTCCCTGGCCCATACCCCAGTGAGCCCTTGGCCAGGTCCCTGATGGCACATTAGTATGGGCACAGAGGCTAGGAGGGGCTGCCCAACTAAACTTCAGCTCCTCCCTTGCAGGGAAGTGACTCTGGAGATATTGAATTATATATGATAATTCAAAAAAAGGCCTGAAACCAGGGCTGAGCCCATAGAAATGCCTAGTTACTTCTTGAAGTTTGTTAGACACCCGGACACTGGATGTGTGCTGTCTCACTCAATCTTAATGAGCCCATGCTAATGGCTGTTTATGAGTGAGACAGCATCTCTTCAAAAATCAAAGGAACATGACCTCAGTCACCCAGGTAACAGGTGCCAAGCCCGGGTTCGGGTCCAGATCTGTATCTTCTGATCTCATGAGCAGTCCTACCGGAAACCACATAGCTTGGCATGGGATCTAGGGACTGCAGAGAAAGTGGGGTAGATAGTGAGTTCAAAGGTCAGTGTCAAACTTTGCTGTGGGGATGCCTCAATGGGTAAGCAACATCACCAAACAACATCACCAAGGGTTCTCCACTCTGCAGAACTGGCCTGGGTCCTGCCACCCTCCACGATTGCCCCTGTAGAGCTATAGGGCCAGGGTCCATCTTGGCATCTGGGCCTGAATCTGACTGACCCCTTGCTCTTCTTCATCCAGTCTGCCTTGGCAGGGCCAGACCTCCTGTCTGGGTTTTCACCCTTACCAGCCTGCTGCCATTTCCTGGGAGGGGTCATGTGTGACGGCAGCCAGGATCTGCCTCTCTCCGGGGACCATGCTCTTGGTGCTTCCGGATTTGTACCATATTACAGAAGCCCGGAAGAAAGCCTTCACACCAGCCCGGAGCCTCCTTCCCCAGTGCTAGACGGCTTGAGCGAGTGACCTCAACCTGGGGCTGCCAGCCTGTGGAGGTGCCGCAGTGAAAGCAGCAGGGACTTCTGGGAATGAACCTGCCAGTCGGTGAGGGACAAAGAGAACTGGAGAGGAGGACCCCACAAGTCAGTCCATTTTCTCTGGGACCAGAGGTGGCCTGGTGCCCAGCCCTCAGACCTTTACTGTTTCTCCTCCTGAGGTGGGAAGAAGTCTTCTACTATGAGATCACAGTGAGGGGGGAATCCTCTCTTTTTGTCACAGAGGTCCACAGGAAGAACCCACCCTTCTCCGCACATAACTTTTCAGTGCCCAATGACCTGATCTTCCACTCTGGTGTCTCCCTCCATGGGTCTGGGCTTGCCTTTCTCATTGCAACAGAAGGGAGAGGCCTGTGCCACCCAGTGCCACCCGGGGCTGCTCCCAAAAATCAACCATCCTACCCCATCTCTCCTACTTCATTCTCCTGGGTGGGAAATCTGTCTGATGAGGTGTGGGGGTGGGTATCACAAAAGTGGCTGCAGAGGGCTTCCTCCTGTGTCCCCCATTTGAATCGCATCTTTCCTTCTGTAGCTTGTCACAAGCCTGGACACAGGGAGCAGGGGCCTCCTGGACAACTTGGAGGTACACACTCCCAAAGCTGGCTTTGTAAATAAATCCTGTTGGCATGGGTGCCTTACACCTCAGTGTGGTGCTTCAGAACCAGGCTGCCAACCTCCCTCTCCCGAGCACTCATTATGAGCTGGTTCCCTGCTGGATCCTCAGAGGTAATCCCATTCTGCAGGTGAAGACACGGGCTCAGAGGGGCGGCAGACAGGCTTCTGGTTCTGAGGACTGACATTAGCAGAGGGGCCATGGCTGGGGCTGCAGGGATGGAGGGATTGCTGGGGGGAGCCAAGCTGGAACCTGACTGCACAGCCAGGAGATCCAGCAAAGCTCTAACGTGACCCACTCACTCTCTGCCTGTCCATTCCCACCCTAAGGACCCACTCACTCTCTGCCTGTCCATTCCCACCCTAAGGACTCACTCGCTCTCCACCTGTCCATTCCCACCCTAAGGACCCACTCACTCTCCACCTGTCCATTCCCACCCTAAGGACTCACTCTCTACCTGCCCATTCCCACCCTATGGACCCACTCACTCTCCACCTGCCCGTTCCCACCCTAAGGACCCACTCGCTCTCCACCTGTCCATTCCCACCCTAAGGACTCACTCTCTGCTTGCCCATTCCCACCCTAAGGACCCACTCACTCTCCACCTGTCCATTCCCACCCTAAGGACTCCTAGATAGAGGACTCTGCTATACCCTGGAGCTCCTATACTTCCTTCCATACTGGGTCTTGAGGGCTGAGGACTGCCCGACTACTCCTCAGCCGATGTACACAAGGAGGCTCGTATTAATGGCGAGCACCTCATTTGTCCACTGTGTGAAGACATATTGCCGTGATTGGTTTAACAGAGAGCTGAACGGCCAAGAGCTAGGCAGGAGGTATAGGCAGGAGTTCTGGGCTGAGAGAGGGAGTAGGAGCAGATAATCCGGCGACATGGAGGAGACAGGATGGGTGGCACATGCCAAAACATAGATGGACAGACATGGGTTAATCTAAGTTATAAGAGCTGGTTAGACACAAGCCTAAGTTAAGGCCAAGCTTTCAGAATAAGCCTCTGCATTGTCATTTGTGAGCTGGTGGCCCAAAGAACAATCTGACTGCACAGAGGTTTTATGGTCAGGGTAGTCTGTGTAGCCCAGGGGAGATCTGACATTGAAGGGTACCCATAGAGCCCAGGGGAGAGAGTAGAAGAGGGCGACAAGGGCTCTCAGCGGCCTCCCTGGCACCCCCAGACATCTCTCTCTGTGGCCTCCCTGGCACCCTCAGATGTCTTTCTAGACTTTTTTTTTTTTTTTAATAGAGTCCGGCTCTATTCTGGCAACTAAGTTGCTCTTTTCCACCTGGAAGCTCCTACGTTGTGTAGCAGTGCCCTCTCCTGGCACATCTTGTCAAGACACAGTTGGTGTCTCCGTGATCTAAATAATGAAATTCTCTGGACACCACCTAGGAGGGTACTGCCCCTGTCTTATAAAGACTGAGCCAGCAGCAGCAGCCTCAAGCCTGGTGCAGAACCCAGGAAACCTCGACCTCAAATGGCCAGTCTACCTTCACTTCATGATTGTAAACAGCTTCTCAACTCTGCAATGGACTGAGACTTCTCTGGACAGACCCCAGAGAACTGCCAATGAGGAGGAAGACCTGTTCCTGATGACAGGCTCACACAGCACCTCCAAAATCAACGTGTCCTTTCTGTCCCTCCAGCTACCTCCCGCATCCAGCACAGAACAATGCAGGCCCAAAGAAAGCGTGTGGAGTCCGCTCATTACCATCTTTCTGTTCTTGGTGGGGGCTGGGGTCCTAGTGGTCAGTAAAAAGGCCTGGAGGCAGAAAAGCAGCTGAGGCTTTGGAAGCCCTGAAAGAAGCCAGAATTCTGTAAGGCCCACAGAGAGGTGGTGCTACTGCCACTGGCCGTGAGGTGGCTGCCCCCTCAGCTCTGCCACGATCCAGACTCCTCCTCCTGCAGGCATCAGGTGGCCAGCCCTTTAGGCATTGCCCCATGGCCTCCACGTTTAAGGTGCCTCTGAGTCCTGACTGAACACCAGGCCTACACAGACTCAGGGGACTCTCTCAAAGGCACCCATCTGATGGACAGACAGAACAGGCAGGCAGGTGGACATGTCCAGCCCAGACAGTCAAAGTGTAATGTGGGGTGTGCACTTCAGCAAAGACCTGGCAGGGAACGTGGAAGCAAAGCAGAATCACAAAGGAGTGGGGCACTGGGCTTCGCCAGAGAGCAAGGGGAGGGAGGGCACCCCTACCAGGGACCAGCACATCCAGTCCCACACAGGGAAGGAATGTGGGGTGTGAAGGCCACACTTCCTGGCTGGACGCCAGCTGGACAGAGCTGAGGTTGTAGGCATAAGGAGTGGAAATGCCACCGAACCCTGCCTTGCAGTCCAACACAGGCCTAAATGGGCAACTAGAATGTGCAGGCAAGGCCACTCAGAGTCATGGAGGGCCCTGCAGAGAGGTGGCCAGAGCAGAGGCCAGCCTTCAGAAGCCTGGTGTGGCAACAATTAGAGAGGGAGCCCAGGCCCAGGTAGGAGGGAACAGAGGTTCTGTGTCCACCATGCTGAGACAGTGACGGCATAGGCAGGGGCTGCCAGAGGACAGTGGACACTGGAAGCACTGAGAAGGGAGAGCACCAGGAGTTCCTGGCTGCAGGGGTGAGGCCTGGGAGAGGAGTGCGGCTCATCCCCAGGCGTGCATGGCAGCTCAGTGGAGGTGCAGTTTCCTGCGTGGAGGGGTGTGGAAGGAGCAGCACTGAGGGTCAGCGTTCTTGTGAACACGCTGAGTTGAGATGGGAGCATCCCTGGCAGAGGTTTAAGGAGAGCGGAAGTTCTGTGCTCAGAAGCAAAGCCTGGAGTCAAGTAAAGTAGGAAACCATCGGCGGGGAGATAGATGATGGTGCGGACAGAGGAAGGTCCGTGGAGGTCTCCAGGGAACCGTATCTAGACACGGACAGGAGACAAGGAGGGGAGAAGAAAGCCAGGCAAGAGGAAGCCACAGGCTCATCATCAGGGCAGGTCAGTAGCTGGCCCAGGTGTAGGTGGTGGGCTCAGGTGTAGACGGTGGACTCAGGTTAGATAGTGGGCACAGGTAGGGACTGAGTCCTTGGCTAAGAAAAGGGTTGGAGAGCTGGAGCAGTGGATGCCTTCAGGAGACTCCGGGGTTTCCCTGCCTTCAGGAAACACAGCTCCTCCTCTCCAATGCTTTCCCAGTGGCACCCCATCACACCCCAGGCAAACCGTCTTTTCTTTAGCAGCTCTCTCAGAAGCAAAGCCTGGCATTGACTCAGTACTCAGGAGCTTCTGTTGCCCTTGAAGGAGCCAGTGAGGAACAGGAAATGGACTCCATTACCAGCACCCACCCCCACCATATCCACACGCCCCTACCAAACAGGTGATGCTGCGAGGGCTCAGTGGAAAAACCCAGGAAGAAATGGAATGGAATTGCTCTCTGGTCATGGCCACCCAAGTAGCCACTCTCTCTCTGAGTCTCTCTGAGCCTTTCTCCTCTGAGCCCGGTTTCTTTATGAGCTGGTTGGTTGCCTCCCAGCCCAGAGGGAGCTTCCATTCAGATAGCAGCAGCATCAGTACTGTCCCCAAGAGGGAAATCCAGGGAGGGATGACAGTTCAGGCTATGTTCCTAGAGCCAGTGTGCTGCTGGGTCCCACACCCCAGGGCTCGGGGCCTGCTCCATGCTGCCACTCAGTGTCGGGTGCTCTGTGCCCCTGTGTGCTTCAGGGTTAGAGTCACAGCAAGTGATTGGGAATGGGAGGGCTTCCATTCCTCTCAGGCCCATTGGCAATCAAGCCGCGGTACCCTGGGCCATGGAGGCCATCCTGCCTGCCAGCAATGCTGACTGCCAGCTCAAGACCACCCTAATGGTGCTGACACGGAACTGAGGAGCTGGCAGTCTGCCTGGAAGAACTTAGGTGATCCTACAAGCATGGCCTTGGGACCTGGCTGGCTTCACACTGGATGTGCTCCAATGGTAGACTCACCAAGGGACTGCTCTTTGGGGACCTTTCATTTCCCAAACGGTCGGTCGCAGGCCCAGATCGCAGGCAGAGTGGGGTATAGTTCAGGGACTCAAGCATGAGTGAGCCACCGTGAGCCTATAAAGTGAGCTCAGCCACAGGCCGTGACCTTTCACCCCCCGCTCCCATAGGGCTTTGCCAGCCCCCTTGGCAGTCTGTGCTTGCTGCTTCATTCTACACTCTTCTCCCAGAGGGGTGGCCTCGGCTCTGGAGTTAAAAATCGGAGTCTGTGCCCACCTCATAGAGGAAGAAGACAGGAGACAAGGGATGGGAGAAGAAAGCCAGGCAAGAGGAAGCCGTAGGCCCATCATCACGAGCCTCGTTCCTCAGCAGGCCTTGCAGCAGGTGCCAGTGGTCGGACGCTTGCCTTGGGGGAAGGAAGCCTGAGCAATCGCTCCTACACATCGACCCCAAAGTGCCAGTGGGACAAGAGCAGGCTAAGCAGAGGGACTTCCTCCAGGCCACACTCATCACGCCTGTCAGCCGAGTCCTGGGGTTGGGACCCAGGGCTGCACCCCTGCTGAAAGCTAGCTGGACACAGGTGGGCACAGGTGGGCCCTTAGAGGCAGGGGAAGGCAGGACATTCTGAATGGAACAAAGATGCCCCCATGTGGCCAGCCCGGAAGTCCCTGGACTGTAGCATGGAGCTGGCTGTGGGTGTGGTCTGCCTACAGTGCAATCTGAGCTCAAGAGGGCCCCCTTCACCTCTGGGCTGGGGCAGTGTAGGTTGAAGCAGCCCCTGGTGTGGATCCCCACCACCATCATCACCCCTCAGCTATGCCTGAGAGAGACTTTGGACCATTAGGTGCTTTGAACACAGGTCTCTGAGAGGACATAGCTAGAGGAAGGGCCTCAGTTGATTGGAATCACACTGTCAAGCCAGCAAAGAACAATACTAGAACCTTCCAGATGCCATCTTGGGCTGGGGGCGGGGCTAGACGTGAGGGCAGAGGGGCAGGAGAAGCTGTGTTGAAGGGAGAGGTCAGAAAAGGCAGGTGGCATCTGTAGATTGTCCCTAGAATTCTGT